CGTTGTGATCTCAGAGTGAGCCATAAAAAGAGCATCCATTCAATTCACATTTTGTGAGGCAATGTGTGTGTATGCTCAAATGATGTATGGTGAAAATAGAGTGGTACTCTGGTACTTGCAACTCCTATATATCAAAACAAAGTAATAAGTGCATTTTGACACATCTACTACTTAGAGACGCATTTACATTCATAGAGAAGAAGAAACTAGCAATTCATTGATTACTATGACTTAGTGAAAACAAACTACAACCCAATTATAAGGTGCTTAATAAGAAATTTTGCATACAAACAATGGGTAATACTTACCTGCCCATACATTAAATCATAACGAAACAAGTAAGCATTTAATGCTTGATGTAAAGTCCATCTAGTCAAACAACAAATCTTAATAATATCAATTTCATCAATTTTTACGTTAATAACACTTGACCATAGTAGTACTTTTCTAACATTTTGCTACGACTTTCATTAGTTGTTTTTTTTTTTCGTTTTTTCCCCCTTTAAAGGTGAACACTTAAATATCTCCATTGGAATAAATCCCAAAGTGCACACGGTTACAGTAAGTCTTGTGGAAAGAAAAGGCGACAGTATCTAAGCCCTGTTGTATGAGAAGAATAGCAAAAAAATAGAATTGCTTATGGAAGATTATAAATTCAGAGAAACAAAATCTCCAGAAAAGCGTGCAAACTCATAAGCATAAAATTAGAATATTTGACAAAAATCAGAAATGAAGATTAATAAAACTGCACTGTGGCGTAAGTATTATAAGCCAGACAGAATGAAAAGAATGGGAGAAAGCGGAACTACAATTTGACTAACTGTATGGTGTGCAGAGATTATATACCGCAGGAGATTTAATGTGAACACCTCAAGGGGATGGACAGATACATACAGTGTCACGGTCACGGCCCAGGTATTTGGATACTAAACTCACACTTTTACTTGGATCAGTATCAGTTTTCTTGCCAAATATCTCTTCAATCTGTAAATATAAATTATACAAAAAAATTATAATCTACACGTAATTACGACAGCTACATATGAAACTATTGTAAGCTGTCTTTCTCATTGTCTTGCGAGAAGAACTGACAGCCCAGCCCAGCCCAGCCCAGCCCAGCCCTCACATATTAAGAACTTGCTACCGAAGAGGAGTGTCAAAGTCTGACAAAATGAACCAGATGATCACCATACAGAGAGACAGGCAGGTTGCTTGGTGACATGTGAGGGTATACTAGCCATGTCAACAACAACAACAACAATGAATTAATGAGCAGTGTAGCAGTGTACCTAACATGTAGTGTACCTAACATCATCATGTCGTGCAGTGATGTCAGAAGCAGAACATGTGCAATAGCAATAGCAATATGTGAAGGTGATTTCTCAATATTCAGTTGTCTACTTTCAATCAAATAAAAGAATAGAGACTGGGTGTATAGTAATAGTACAAGTACATTACAAAAATTATTCTTACCACTAAAAACTCCTGTCTATCAACTTTTTGGTTACCATCTCTATCAAACATATTGAATGCAATCTTAAATCCACCCTGTGGTTCTAGAGAAAAAGAAAGTATTAAATAATTGATTAAATAATTAATTAATACAAAATATTATTTTACATCTAGCACCAATAGAATTTGCCATTCTGTAAAAAGCCAAACAAAATACATAATCCAAAACGTATCAGCACTCGTAATGTATCACTACAAGCAAAGAGAAGATGTATAATAATACAGTTATCACGAGAATACCACAAAGTATACACTCAGGCAGTACAGGCTCGCATTCAATCTCTGCTGTCCTGGCTTTGTTATTCTCATGATAAGCTCATAATACAACAGATATTGGAGCCTTGGAGGAGGTGAGGTTCATTAGGCAGGAAGGTGGTCAGGAGTGTGGGATCTAGATAAAAAATTAGTTAGTACAAACCCTTATGTCGTGTCTTGTATCAAATTTCCTCAAACACAATCAATTGTTTCCATGAAAATGGCTTTAGACAACGGCCATTTTGAATCAAATCGTGAAGCAAAATGATATACAAGATACTGTGCTACTAATTTGTGACATGAATCTGGCAAATTTTGTGATTTTTCATTTCTTTCCACTTGTGACAGAAAAAAAACATTGCAGTAATAGCCATGATGACTACAATTAGTTTACTCCATTAAAGATGCCCATGTTGTGGTTATGAATATATTTTGATGAGAAATACTTACTAGTAAGAATGCACAATAAAAATACATATTCCGTGTATGATATTATTCCTGTGAAGAAAAATAGAAATTCTAGTAATTAAACAAAAAAAACTTGTAGACTACCTTATTTGAAAAACAAATTGCCTCAAATGAAATACAAGAAGTCTGAAATGTCTTCCTGTCTTCAAGTATTCAAAAAAATAAACTGAAAGTTTCAAAGATATGCAACAGAATCACAATTGATTTCTGGCATCTGCTGCCCTCTAGTGGTTACACTCACAAAATGGTTCGTTTTTATCGAAAAGTCCTCTTAAAGTCACATACACATGTATTAGAAGCTGCGGCTTGTATTAAAATGCTACAATGCAACAGAGAGGATACAGATTCTATTAGAAGCATCTACATATAGGAGAAATTGTAAATTTTTAGTTCTCAATTGTTCAAAAAAATAGGGGCAGCTTTTATACATATTTTATGGTATTACTAATTAGCATATCACATCAGTTATATGGTGCTTGTTAACCAACTCCGCTGCCCTCCAAAAAAACATAATTCAAGAGGGCTCACTTAACTATGTCATTTGTGAAGGTCTTTTTCTAAATTAAAAGTACCACTGATCTGAGAATCAAGACAACTGTTGATTGGACACCTCAAAACTGGTTCTTTTTTCTGAGGTTCTTGAAATCAGAAAGGTTAAAAAATCTGTGTACTTTTCTTCAACTTTTGTGACAGCTTTTGAGCTGCACATTGTTTTTGTCAGCATCTAGGCTAGACAACATGTGTAGTTCTGGCAAGAAGAAACAGAGTCCAGACATGTGGCTTTAGCAAGTTATCTTTAAAACCCACATTTTTGAAAAATGCACCAAAATTGAAAGACAAATAGCCCTGACTACAGAGAAAACCTCAATCAACATTTAGGGTATTTTGTGGCCCAGTGTGACTGTATTTACAAAGTTATGCCTTTTGTACGAACTTATGTTTCTCTGTGAATGGATGTTAAAGATGGCAGCATTTGCCAAAGTTCAGTTGCATTTTGTTCAATACAAATTTATTCAGTTTGTAATACATTATAAGTCTCAGTCTCTACCAAATACTGTTTCAGAGCTTAATTATTTGTATTTTTGCTGATTTTTCTGGCAGCTAAATGCGCTCAAATATTTCCTTTTCCACAGTACCAGTAGTCACTGTTTTTGTAATCAGCGCCCTCTAAAGTTTCAAATTGTATTCATGAAAAGTATACTATGCCCTCTACAGTTTAAAGTTTGATAAATTTCATCATTGAACATTGCTGTTCATTCAGCATATCAATTGCCATCCCAGACTAGAATCGACTAAGTAGTCTTGACGCAGTAAGAATATGCACATTTGTTAAATGCCCCCACACAATACCTCAGGTGGTGACTGATTAAACGTGAGGTGAAAGCCGGGTCATTACCTATAACCGAAATAAATGCCTACAAAAATATTGACTTTTGGTAAATTGGCAAGGGTTGACAGAATGACTTGCATGCAGCAATACTCATGAATAAACACTACACTGGCAAAATTACTCCACTCTTTTCTTTCTCTTCAATCAATGCATCGTTAAGTCCTAAATATTTACTGATAACCCTGGAATTTGTATTTTGATTAAAAAGATTACATACGCTTGTACTGTGGAGCACTTATAAGTACAATGGCTAATACACGGGGACATGCTGGCAATGGATACCGTGGGTATGTATGCAATGCTCGACTACATTTCAGGTACCCCTTTGTCCATTAAAAACAAATAATACCGGTTTTATAGAGGGATGAGATAAAAA